GGGGGGGGGAGGGGGGACACGCGTGTGCGCACGGCGGACGCGTCGGCCGAACCTTGCTCGTCGAAAGAAAATACGGGACTGATCGTAGATAATAATTGTTCCGGCAGTTTAATTGCCGATCAATCGGCAAGTCGTTAATATAAATTTACGCGTCCCCATCTTCTAATCGCGTCTCACGAGCTTTTAATTAAGCTAATTGATTCGCGCTCGTGCGGGAGACTGTTCACACAGTCTCTCCGCGTGCAGCCGATCGCCCGGCGGCCGATGATTATACGGTGGATAATAATGATTACACCGTGATTTATTCGCGCGTTATCGCCATCGGCACGAATCCCTGTAATTAAGCCGTTTTGCCGTTTTTGTTTGTTCGTAGGCGCCGTTAACTCGCCGCAGATCCTCCTGAACAGCGGCATAGGACCCCGGGAGGAGCTGAACGCGGTGGGTGTGCCGGTCGTCCTTGATCTTCCAGGTGTCGGCAAGAACCTTCACAATCACGTGGCCTACGCTCTGGGTTTCACTATCAACGACACCGACACGACACCTCTGAATTGGGCGACCGCCATGGAGTACTTGCTGTTCAGGGACGGCCTGATGTCCGGCACAGGTGAGATACGCCATTCGCAAGCTAAACTCGCAAACCGAGGGAAGATGGCATCTCTTTCTCATTAAAAAGAAAATCAAGTTAATTACAGTTAATTCGTATCTTTCATCGAATCGTCCGGCTCGTGTAAGCCTGCTCTGAACTTTTTATCGGCTTTCAATCGATCAAATTATTCACTCGAATAAATTCTTAATGAAGGATTTGCTTATTTTTGCAAGGCAAAATTGTTTGGCACAGTTTCTCACGAATTTTATTGGTAAAGATGTCAAAATTAAGAGTGCGTTTCTTCGAACATTTAGGGGTTGAAACGTATATACGGAACGAACGCGATTTAAGTAGATACAGACGGTCATGTACGGGCGAAATACCGCGTGTCAGCCCGCTGGGCCAGACGCGACGCCACACTCTAAGTAGCTACAGACAGTCACGTCCAGGCGAAATACGTGTACAGGCGGCACGGACGCAACGTGTCTGTGACTACTTGGAGCGCAACTCGTATTCCAAAAATGCGATTGTGGTTTGCAGAAAATACGTGCTTCTTATTTTTGACTTTTCTACAATAACACACTCAAGATTCATCAATCATCATCATCGGTACTTTAGATCTTCCTTTATTAGCAACTTTGTAGATAATAAAAATTCACAATTGCCTTTTTTTTTAACACTTATTCATGTATCAGGAACTCTACGAAAACGAGAAAACCGGCACTTCAAAGTCAAGGAATTCGTCAAAATAATGAAAAACTAGGCGAAAAAGAGTGGGACTCTGGTAGTCCCAACGTGTCACAAAGAGTCGATATATTTTTAACATTCGGCAATCGAACCGTGAGTATCAGTCGTTCGTTAGGTTCCGGGATTGGTTTCGCCGTGGATTACAATTTCATTGATCCGAGAGACAACAAGAGAGAGAGAGAGAGAGAGAGAGAGAGAGACCATGTATTCCGGGGCTCCGCATTGATGCACAGTGCGCGTTTTCCTGTTTACCATGTCGAAGATGTTGCATCTCGAGGCATTAATTCGCGGACTTCGTGCACAAGCAGTGAAAGTGTATTGCACAATGATCACGCTCGTCGTGTCCGTCGATCCGACGATTACGTGAGCTGTCCCAACCCGATAGGTCCATTTACCGTCATTCAGATCGGCGGACCAATTTAAAACCGGTCATCACCTCTCACGCTCGTGACTCTGCTCTCTTCATGATCTGTCAACTGAAATTATCCGTTGATCCCGATTCCGTGCCGCTGCTTCGCACACACATTGCGCACACGCACACACATACACAGCACGCACTTACCCACGATACGCTATTATCTATAATACGCTGGAAGGAATTTTCCGAACGTCGCGATTCATGACTCGTGGAAGGGGAGAAAGTTAAAAAAGAACGTGAAATTGCAGAGAACCACGCGTGCATCAAATCGTTACGCTGATAACTAATGGATACTACACGCGCATAAATATCGACGTTTATCGAATACATTTGCTACGAGAGGCGATCTCATGTTACGCGTAAAAAGCGGCGCTTCCGAGTGACTTTTCTCTCATTATTAAACCGTACGACACCACCGTCCATTAATATTGGCATTACGGCGGTTTGATATTCGCATAAATTAATATCAGCCGCTTCCGCGGAATATAGCCGGCGTTTCGCCTTTCGCGCGTCCTCCCCTCCGCTCGCATTTGCATTTTCCATTGCGGCGGGCTAAATTACATCGCTAACCGGCGTGTTTCATGTGTACGTACGTGCGCGGTCGCGGCGGTGTTGCGGATATTCGCGTTTGTCGAGTCGATAAACAATGTGGAAAGAAGGTATGCGCGTGAAAGTAGCTTCGGGACCGCCGTCCCCCGATGGGTGCCATCTTCTTCCGCTCGTACGGCCAATTAACGCGCGGCTAATTAAGCTTGCGAAGGCCGACCGGCGGGGAGCGCGTTAATGTTGCTCCGTACTCTACTTTTGATCATTAATCAAAGACACCGGGCACGAGGAGGAGGCGGAGGAGGGTGGGATAGAGAAGGGAGGCGTTATCCGTTGGGAATGAAGCGAGCGCATAGTTTCGTGTCGGGAATTCGTTCCCCGGCAAATTGTTCGGGAATTTATGCAGATATCTCGCCGATATATAAGGTATACAAGTATAATGGTGTATATCCCTTTCACAATAGCTCGCTCTCGCCCCGCTCATAATCCGAGGCGCCTTTTTAAGGTATTCGGCACGATCGATAGCCCCGAGCTGAGCTGGTTCTTAACGAGCGTCACCTCGGGGAGCTGAACTCCTGTTGTATATCGAGTCTCTCTCTCTCTCTCTCTTTCTTTCTTTCTCTCTCTTTCTCGCGCCTCTCCTTCGTCCTCTCCAGCACGAAACGCCGCCGGCAGCGAAACGTCGTAATAGCGCGATTCCCCGGCGCTAAATGCAGCCTCGGAATCGCTTCTCTTACGCCGGTCACGCGGCTATGCGATTCGGACGGCGATTCGATTGAATTACGTAAGGGCGTCGAATATGACCCGCGAATATATACGGCGTTACCGAGAAGAACGCGGTGGTCGATCGCACCTCACGATTTCGCAATGCCGAAACGCGCGCGCTCGGGGGTAGTGATTAATTGTAGATCGGAATAAATCGAACGATCCGAACTGTCATTCATCTCTCACCGGCTGACGGTGCGATCGGTGATTTATCGGCGTTCTGGCGCGAAGGGAGAAAAATTATGCAGGCGCTATTAATTTCTAAGGAGTACCTTTCGAGTAAATTGCGGCTGACAGGATTGTCGACGGTCGTTCGTTACGGACGGCCGATCGCTTTTTGCCGCTTTTAGCGAAATGTGTTGTTGGTTTTGATACGTCTTGCAATGCACAATTATCAGGGTTGGTTGAATTGATTAATACATATATATATATGTGTGTGTGTTCTTTTTTGCATAATTAATTTTTTAATTGTAGATTAAATTTACGTTAAATAAAGGGAAGGTAATCTATTATGAGAAAATACCGGCTGTCTTGCGTTCAGGACTGCATAAAAAGAAAAACATTAGCGCTCTGAGAAACAAAAAAATTTCGGCCGGCGTTATTTTTCATAATTTTCATTTCATGTTGCAAGCAGCCCGCAATGATTCTAATACTGACGAATTATTTTAACTTACGTGAAAAAATAAAAAGAATTCATGTCAATGCATTTTAAGGTAACCAATTCAGGTTAAAAGTAAACTCATTAAAAATTAACCGAGTTATGTCGAAGGTTGTCAATTTTTCATCTTAACTCTTGACTGATTAATCAGCTATTATCCATCATGATAATTGTACTGTGCACAATTATTTTATACTATATAATATACTTTACACTATATGATAATTTAATATGATATTTTATTACGATATGTTACTTTAGCACGGTAATTATGAGTCGGCACAACAAACTAATTCTCGCGTCCTGTTCCCGCCAGGAATCTCGGAGGTGACGGCGATGATTAACACGAAGTTCGCGGATCCACGAGAGGATCATCCCGACGTCCAGTTAATCTTTGGCGGTTACCTGGCCGACTGCGCCGAGACCGGTATGGTGGGCGAGAAGAAGGGCGCGAATCGCAGCATCTACATCATCCCGACGATTCTGCATCCGAAGAGCCGCGGTTACCTGCGCTTGCGAAACAACGATCCCCTCTCGAAGCCGCTGATCTACCCCAAATACCTGACTCATCCTGACGACTCGGCCGCTCTCGTCGAGGCTATTAAGTTCAGCGTCAAGTTAGCGGAGAGCCAGGCGCTCAAGAGGTATGTGTTTTCACTTCTTTCGCGAAATTATGCAAACGAAATTGTGAGCGAACGCTTTTAGCTCAGTTTCGAAATAAAGATATAAAGTGAAACAAAGCAAATATATATTTTTTTTTATTTTTCGGATATTTTATCTGATATATTTATATTTAATTTCGATATCCGCCTGCAACGTTGCAGCTTCTTTATTTTCTATTCGAGCGAACGCAGCATCGCCGAGAGCGCTGCGACGCCTTTGCCCGTACTTTCGGCAATATTTCCTGCAAAAGCAAACCCCTCCCTTCGGTTACGATATTTGACTCGTGTATCTGAGACTTTGACGTTTCGCTGAATCTCCCAGATACGGCTTCGAGGTGGACCGGACCCCGGTGAAGAACTGCGAGCACCTCAAGTTCGGCTGCGACGCTTACTGGCATTGCGCGATTCGTCGCGACACCGCGCCCGAAAACCATCAAGCAGGATCGTGCAAGATGGGCCCCCCGGACGACCCTTTGGCCGTGGTCGACAATCAGCTGCGAGTCAGGGGAGTGCGAGGCGTGAGGGTGGCCGATACGAGCATCATGCCGAGAGTGACATCCGGCAATACGAACGCGCCGGCGATCATGATCGGTTCGTACATGCTTCTTCACGTACAGCACGACTATTTTCACTCAACTAAGTCGACAACTTGAAGTAGCTCTCATATAAAAACCATCACTTGAACGGGGATTTTGACGTACGAGAGGTTCATTCGGTACCAAATATCCTCCGGTCTACTTCGCACGCGATTCTGTGTAACATGAGATGCACATATTTATATATTTTTTATTTATATACATACGTTTTATACATTTTTTTAATGTATATATTTGCACACTTTTTATATACAGGTGAAAGAGCAGCGGACTTCATCAAGAGGACCTGGATCGGTTGACTCGAGCTTGCTTGACGTTCGATCACGACGTTCTACTACTTCGCGAGCAGCACCGTGGTTCCAGCTGCGACACGAATATCTGAGAGACGTCGCGAAGAAGAGCCTGAGAGAGACCGACCCGTCGCCGACTCTTCAGACATCTTCTTCGGACGTTCTTTAGATCTTTGCGTTATTTCGAGCCTCTCCCATTGTAGTACGTACGCTTCGCGTGAATCCTTCGTATTCTCCGCCGGGCCGGGTAATCAAATGCGACAATTAATCATAATACGGCTGCAATCAGGGTCAAATTATCGACTAATCGTTACACGACGCAAGACTCGGAGTATTATTTAATCGCGCGGTCTGTCCCCCCCCCCCCCCGACGTCTCGTGTCACTCGTGTAACGGTGCGGTCGAGTAGTTTTACATAATAATCTTGCCGACGAAGAAAGATCGTGTGTTACCGGTTTCTCCTAGCTACAGTTTAGAATTTTATTCTACCCGTACCTTTAAGCATTCCTCGTGGTAACATCCAGCCTATCAGTGATCGTAACTCCGTTACCAAATAGACCAATCGTCGTCAGTTATCGCGATAATGTTCGGCGACAAGGCAAAACCAACCGATCGCAATCTTGTTCCGCGTCTCCACCGACGAAGTAAGCGAGCTCGTTACTGTAAATAGTACATTGCCGCCGGTGTATTCTCCTACGAATCACTTGTAAGTTGATGTACAAATAAAGGATGTTCTTGATCGCGGAAGGTCGCGACTATCTCCATGCCCGAAGTGTGCCGTCGTGTGTGAGCTCGACGAATTTACCGAACACAGATTAACGAAATGAACTTCGTATTCTGTCTGTTACCTTCGCTCACTTTCGCTTCAGGATTCGACGAAGACGGGCGTTTGTGAGCGCTCGTCGACGAAGAAGCGCAAGGATGGAGAATTCGAAAAAGGAAACATTCATGTTACTGGTGTGATGCACTTAAACATATATTTTATAACACTTGTGTGATATTTAAAACTTAAGATATATATATATATATATAGATATATATATTTTTTGAGAGAAAAAGTATCTAAAAAATAAAAAAATAATTATTCGGTGGATACTGATTACATTTGCTTACACCAAGATACATATTTTTTACAAACATTAAAAATAATATTTCTACCCTATAATGTTAATATTTAGAAATATTATATTATCAAGCAACAGTTTAAAAACTTCTACAAAATATGATGTCAAAATGTTTATAAAATTCATGTAAAATCAATGTTTCAAAAGATTGATTTAACGTTCCTTGCTTGCCGAGTAGATTTGAGTAAATATGTGATTTGATAAATATGTTATTAGCACCCACCGAATAAATATTTCTTATTTCTCAGATACTTTCCCAGTGCACTTATGACATCGTATCGCGTTTAACGCCTAATGACTACAATAATACTGACCATACTCGACGGTATTCAGTTACCGGCACGTTTCACACGTAAGACTAGATCTTCTTCTTCTCCCGCTTCTTTTCGTTCTTCCTGTTACACGCCAATCTAACACGCGACATTGCTTAATTCAGATTAATTAATTAAGATCAGTTGATTGCCGGGTGGTCGATCCGGATTCGTCCAGATTCAATACTGGCTACGCCTGCGTTTGTTGCACCTGTACATTCTTCGGATTTTCTGAATGTCCCTCTTGCTGAAGCCCTCCCTCTGACCGATCTCTTCCCTGCTGTTCTCCTGGAAGATGTCGCCGATGAAGCCCAAAATGCCGCCCGATTTCTCCTACGGACGTACACATCGCAAGTGTAAGTGCAAGCGCAAGACGATCCGCGCGCTCGCCGACCGGAGAAACTCGCTTATTTTCTTTTTTTATCAAATTCGCGGCTTAAACCCGCGCAGTGTGTAAACTTCGCGCCGGCGGATAACCGGCGAGATCGCGAAAGACGAAGGACGAGGCGGCGGCGCGTTCGTAAAAACGCTATCTCGGATCGCTTACTCTGGGTATTATCGTGGGCTGGCCGTTCTTGGAGAACGCCTTCGACGAGTAGTGCATCACGCTGCCGTAATCGTAGCCGACACCGAAGGCGTCGGTGGTCTCCTTGGAGGCTTTCTCGAAATTGCCGCCGTGACCTACATGCATAAAGCACACCGTACCGTGATAAAGATACAAGTTCATAATGCAAACGGTAACCTGGGGCTTTCGGGGGTCGCCGAAGCGCGCGCAAGTCGTCGCGAATCGACCCCAGGATGGTGTGAACCCGGGAAAAAAAGATCATATGTGAAATTCGCCTATATATGACTGTATACAATCACATATATACGTCGACGACGAAAAAATACTGTTGTTTACAAATCACATGTAAATACTAAATTAATAAAATAATTAATAAAATAAAAATTAAATACTAAATTACATGTAGATATAGACATGTATGATTGTAACTACATATATGGGCAAAATTCATATATGATTTTATATAATTATGTGTAATCATATGTAATCATTTTTTCCCGGGAATGGACGGAAGGACGGAAGGAGAGAGGAAGAGGGCTTCTTTTGGAGGGAGGACGTTCGGGGATCGCATTGCCTCGCAATACGAGTACTTTCCGTTTATAATAATCAATAATTTAATATTAAACTACGTCATATGCGTTAAATTATTGTTAAATTATTCAAAATTATCCGAATGGGGTAATTGCGCCGTTTAATGATTATAAATTGTCCGATGATAATTGTGCAGCCTGATAAACACGAACATACAGTAGCATTACGTAATATTGTAATATTATAATTTCCCGGTCGAGACAACGTCCTCGGTGAAAATTTCCGTGCGGATTCCCACGGAAATCGAAGGAATCTCATGCGATATTGAACGGGATCATTTTTTAATATCGAATCCCAAGGCGAGATCTCGAGGACGACGTTTCCCCTCGGAATATAGAAACGCGAGGATACCGTACCGTTCATAATGTTCTGCCACAAGATGTTCACGTAGTCGTCTCGCTCGTATCTGCTCTGCTCGTGCAGGAAGCCGACGGCGTGCATCAGCTCGTGAATCACCGTGCCCTTCTTCGTGACGCAGCCGGGCACCTGAAGGTTGACGTCCTGCCGACCGCCGATCCTGCCCACGCTGCTCCAGCAGCCGCTGTTGCCGGCCGTGATCCTGATATAGTCGCTCTCCTCGCCTGCGTACGGCTTGAACGTGACGCACGTGTACTTGTGGTAGTCCTCCATCGCGTCGCGTATCAGTTTCTGCTGTTGCGCGTCTGCGATGCAAATATCACGGAAGAAGTAAGCGGGAGAGGCTTAAGTCGAATTGGATCTCGAACGTAAAACGTAGCCTTCGGCTTCGGTCGGACACCGAAGGTGTTTCTGACTATCGAGTCACCGGGATCTTCGAATGGTGTTGTCCTTGTTTGAGAAGTGAGGCAGGGGAGGGAGCGATTGAAGCAAATATAACTCCAACAAATTCGTAATAATAAGTCATATCTTTTAGGAGGAAACATTTGAAATCTTGGAAATATCATATCTCTCATATGTGACATCATTATTTCGGCGTAATTGCACGGAGAAAAGAATTGACTAAATTAACGTGACAACGAACGGAGCGAGCGCGTTTCGGTTGAAGGGAGCAGAATTTCCGAGGGCCTTATGAGCGAAATTTGAAGCTCTCAGAAGCAGATGTTCCGTTTCCTCCAGTCAAGACGCGTTTGCAGATCGTCCGTTGTCGCGTTCATTCGACTAATTTTTCGTATACACAATATTATCATTTCAAAGTCGTTTTCGCGGTCTCTTCGGTCGCGTCGTAACAGAAGAGATACCAGTCCGAGGCGAAGCCTTCGCCTTCGCGAATACCTACTCAAGATCTGCGTTTCGCAGGGCAGGTTAACTCCGTCCCTTCGCCGGGGGGGAATTGCGAGGATACTCACTGAAGTACGGACTAATCATGTAGGGTACGACGCCGTTGGGCCATCGCGCGCTCTCAGCCTTGAGGCCGTTCCTCGCGAAAACCGGCGGGAACAGGATGTCACCCTCGGCGTAGTTGCCCAACTCCTCGGGGTTCACGTCCATGTTCTCGTGCCATTGCGCCACTTTGAGGCCGGTCTCATTATCGGGCAGCCCGTAGAGCGTCTCGCCGAGGTGCTGCAGGTGGGAGATCAGTCCGTCCGGGCTGTCCACGGCGTTGTCGAAGACGTCCCGTCGACGAAGCGGCCAGCCCGACGCCGCCAAGACGAAGAGCCCCCACGTGAGGGCACTGGTGAACGATCGGCTCGACATGATGACGATCGTCCGGGACTTTTCGCAAGACTGGATCGCCCGTCTGATTTTGCCTGTCTAACAGCCGATGACGATGCTCGCGAAATGCAGTGTTCCGGCCGATCGTTCCTGGTTTTATACGTCGCGCGAAGAAGCTCAACGTGCCCCACCCAGCGAGCGGATGAGCCCGCCGCTTCCGTAAGGAAGTGATCGGGGCCGCCCGTTGATAACCGTGGACTTTGGGTGACGCCGCGTCCAGATTTGCACCCGGTATCGTCTCTCTCTCTCTCTCTCTCTAATATCTTAAAGGCGCGAGCGTCGAGCCCGGCCATTAGGCATGTTGTGAGTCATTAATCCTTCGGACGGCGATTATACCAGGAGGCCTTGTGTTCGTAGAACCAAACCTACGGTATCTACGCACGCTGAATCTTTATATTAATTTCGCTGCAACGAGCAAGGTTCAATAATCACACGCGCGCGTTGTCGAAAAGACACTTGCATGAGCCGGTTGTCTTCGGGGTTCTTAATTGCAATGTCGGCCGAGTTTCAGGGAAGGGTGTAGTTCAGTAAAATAAGGGTCGACTAGACATTGGAAAGGTTCCCGGAAAAAATGATGTTAGGATATGTAATAAATGTACAAAATAATGTGATTTCATTTATTTATTTTTTTATTTTATTCATTTGGTAATTTCCGATAGATATTATGAGTACGTCGATTTTGAGATTTCTTCTTCTAAAAAGGTAAATCTTTGAACATTTTTAAAGATAGTTATTTGCAAAGAAATATGTAATGATTCTCGTAAGACTGTTGTGAATTTCGGTGGACAAGTATGTCTGGCTTGAATTCGTATAAATTTTAATTTCGCATCGAGATTCAACGAGATTGATTCGACGAGAGAGATTTCAACGAGATTTAAGGACTATAAACAAAACGTCGGCTTTCCCAGGTGGAACGGAAAATGAAGATGACGATGAGAAAACGATCGAGAAATAAGTTTTACAGTCATTCCCTCATCATCTCGACTTCGTTTCGCCATCATTTTGACGTCATTTTCTACCTGGCCCGATGCTTATCCTCCATAGACCGGGTATGAGCGGTCTCGAAGCAGGAAGAAGGTGGACTACGCACCACACACCTACGTATTAATATCTTTATTCACAACCGACTAGGTTTAATTCCACAAGGTGGATATCGAGCCAAGCGACGAAATGGAAAACCTAGGAACACGAGACAATGGACTGTCTTCTACTTCCGAAACCTGTTCTCTCTCTCTCTCTCTCTCTCAGGTGGTTGACATTACTGCTCGCGGGAAGCGTCAAGTACGTCGATGTGAGACGAGAGAACGGCATTATTTGCACACCGTCCACGTTGTGGTAAACGCGGTAACGCTGCTCCCGCGCGGATCATTCACATGCAAATTCCATCATACAAACATTTGTCATCCTTCATCTTGAAAGAGCGTCTCTCTGTCGCGCGCGCGCACGGACAGCTCGTCGGAAGTACGATATTAAAACAGTCAAGGTCGCCCGTATTCAATACGACGATATTAGTCATATCGAGATTTCGCGTCGGATAAGATTTCAACTGCGACAGATATATACGCGATCCCCGCGAGGACGACCCGACACCGCCTTCTCGCCGGGTTTTTTTTACGTGCGATCGACCGACCTTCCGACGACGACGACACGAGGAGGCGTACGCGAAGCGTTTCATGATGCAACGTCGCTCGATTACATTTATGTAATAAGAAAAAACTGCTAAGTCGCCGAGCAGTTGTCGTACGCAATAAATGGCGGGAAAAAAATATTTGCCGGCGATAACCGAGCCGCTGCTTACGTGTCTATGAATATTTGAATAATGTTCGACCACGTGCTGATAGAAACGCGTTAAAGGGAACATTAGGAATAAAGTCTCTCTACCTCGCGCTATCTGAAACCAGTTTTCGAAACGTATCTAGTAGGATGTTACGAGTAAGTATTTAGGAAACTGGTCTGCGTAATCAGTGTTTTCTATTAGGCGACGAGCGCGATAATTTTAGGGAGAGACAAATCGGCCCCACGCGCGCTTCATTTACATACGCGTATAGATCGCCGTTCCGTTGATTCCGTTGGATTTGCATTTACGCATGGATTTAGAAGAATACCGGCAGCCGGGTCGATGAAAGGAAGTGTTTCTCGAAACATATTTATATTGCGCACAGTGTCTTTTATATGTTTGTCAGCGGAATTGTATATAATTTATCAGAATCGCTTCAATCCCCCCTGCTTGAGTTTTCATTCCTCGGTAAGATAACTCGACGTCGGGATTCTTATTGTCTGGTGAATAAAGACAAGAAGATTATCCGCTTACCTGTTCGATTTGTACCACTGAAAAGGAGGCCCGTCTAATCTGCTGTTTGGAATCCCACTATCTGGCTGATTTTTACTTTGGCTTAAGTATTTGAGAAACATTCGCCATTGGAAAACTGAACATCCCATTCGATCGGCATTAAAATGTACAACTCAATATAAATCAACCAATCGATTAATACAATTTAATTAAATAATTGTGGACGCGTAGTACTATTTAAAAATAAATATTTAAAAATAAAATTTCGTCCGATTTTTCGTTTACTAGCACTACTCGGATGATAAAAGTACGTGCAACTTATCTTTGCGTTATACAAGAGCCTCGAATTTTCGTTAAAGTCAGTGGCGGCTCGTAGCGGAGACTTTGAAACTAAAAAACGAGTACCTTAGCCGAGACTCGAACCTTAGCAGAGACTCAAACCTCACTCACTCCCAATGGGTTCATCGAAACGCCGATAGATGGCGCCAAGTAGTCCGTTAATGCGTGATACTGTTAAATGACGTCGTGTGTTAGCAAAATTTTTACCGGGTTCAATGATAAAACGTTTCGAACGTAGCGAATTGGGCTTTTGACCTGTCAATAATACTTCCGAACAGCGTTTTGAGGAAGCTTTTCTTTCTATTTGTCGAAGACGACTAATTGATCCTTTAATAAGAAAGAAACAACAATCGAACGATTCATCGGCAGGCTATTTCGTGGAAGATAACCTAAAAACGCTTCGTTGAAACGAAAGGAAAACTTGCATCACACGTATTTGGGTAAAAAATTCTGTGAATAAGGAAAATTAGAATTCCAGGATGACGTTGAAGGATTCATGGGAGGCCGTCAGACAGGCGGCGGACGAAAACAGGCACGAACTGGTATTGACAGGCACATCGGTGTCCAAGTTGATCGAAAAATCGGGCCTGGACGAGAACCTGTTCGACCTTCATAATTTGAATTACCTCTGCATAACGCAGACGTGCCTCCAAATAATACCGGACGAAATCGAGAAGCTGACAAATCTTACAACATTGGTGTTGCATTCAAACCAGATCGCCACGCTACCCGACACAATCGGCAAATTAATCAAGATAAAACTGCTCGATTGCTCGAGGAATAAGTTAACATCTCTGCCGCAAGCGTTGGACAATTTTCCTCAGTTGAGCACGATGAACTTTGGCTCGAATCTCCTACGATCTATCCCATCGCAAAGTGCTAATATCAAATTGAATATTCTGGATCTGTCGAACAATCGCTTGGAAACCTTTCCCGACGTTTGTTACGCGGAACTTGTTCATCTGTCGGAGATTTATGTCAATGGGAATCGAATAACAGAAATACCAGCTGCTATAAGTCAACTTCAAGTCTTGAAAGTTCTAAATATCGCGGATAACTTAATTTCTGGTAACTAGACATTTCTAGGGAATTTCTTCTATTTTTATTGTTAATTTCTCTCTCTCTCTCTCTCTCTCGACTTTGGATTTAATTTCTTTATGTATCACGAGATATAATACATAAATGTGCATTGATATAGTTGTTCCAGGTGAATTGGCAGATTGCGGCAAATTGAAGGAGATTAATCTAAAGGACAATAAACTGACCGATAAGAGGCTCTTAAAACTGGTTAATCAGTGTCGTTCGAAGCAGGTGCTGGATTATGTGAAATTGCACTGTCCGAAGTGTCAGTCGTCTGCGGAAGTTGGCAGATCGAAGAAAGGGAAAAAGAATCAGAAGCTTAGCGAAAGTGAGAATGCCAATAAGGTGGACAATCTGACGCATAAATTGAGGATCTTGAAAGTAGCAGATAGCACACCTGTGATCAAAGTCACAGACAGCGTGAAGAGTATTAGACCTTACATAGCGGCGTGCATCGTGAGAAATATGAATTTCACGGAAGCAAGTTTCAAAAGGTTCATTCAGCTGCAGACAAAACTACACGATGGAATATGTGACAGAAGGAATGCCGCTACAATAGCGACTCACGACTTCAAGCTAATACCATCTGGTAAGTATACTTCATTATGGCGGTAATTAGAAGATTTCATTGCTGATATTTTACTTACATATGGCTGGTTGTTTTCCAGGTGATCTGACGTACACGGCAATGCGGCCGGCGGAACTGCAGATCAGACCTTTGATGCGCAACAATACCTGTACAGCGGAAGCTTTATTCCAACAGTTGCAAACAGAAGCCGATAATCTGCGCAAGGAGAAGAAACGAAACGTATATTCCGGTATACACAAATATTTGTATATGCTCGAAGGCAAGCCCTTGTTTCCGTGCTTCCTGGACAGTTCGCAGCGAGTCATATCGTTGCCACCTATCACGAACAGTGACGTAACGAAGATGTCTTCCTCTACTGAAACGATGTTCGTGGAAGTAACGAGCGGTATTTCGTATACGGTGTGCAGGTGAGACGCTTGTTCGATTCGTATACACACCTAATTAGAAATATATCATTGCGTGGACGATAGAAAATGAATCTTCTTAATCATACATTAAATTGTTTACCTACAGAAAAGTATTGGATGAATTCTTGAAAGAATTGGTAACCTTGGATTTCATCAATATATCCGAACAGGAGGATACTAAATACAATAATTTAATTGTCGAGCAAATCAAAGTAGTCGATACCGAAGGCAATCTCAAACTGGTGTATCCTTCGAGAGTAGACTTGAATCTTGATGAGCATTCAATCACTGTGCTGCGAGAACAGCAAATGACGTAATGTTATTGATATGTTACTTTAGTTCAACATTACAGTATTACGTTATTGTTATCGTTGATCGATTTATGTAACATTTTATACAGCACATTTATTAGCGAAACTTTCTTTTGTACAAATGTGACATGTTACATTCTGAAAATAAGTCTACACACGTTATTTCCCGACTGTATTCGGAAAACCATTTTCGATACTTCTATAACAGAGGTTCTAGAAGATTTTCATTTATTGACTTTTGCCAAAATTCCAAGTAGCATAAATTTCTAAAAGATATCTTTAAAAAAATGCTTAAAGAATACATAATTGTGTTTGAAAAAAACAAGACGTCTTTCAGAAGCTTCTGGTATCTAAGAAGTTACCATTTTGTTTATTAAAAATGATATTAACACAAGATATATATTATGTTATTTATATTATCGGAAAATATTTCCAATTAGTTTATTTCTACCACCAAGGTTTTTGTTGCTTTTTTCCTTGTAGTCATGAAGTTATTTATCATTTCTGTATATAACTAATACAGCCGTTTTTGTTTATCACATGGAATAAAAGCCAGACTTTTCTAATACGTTTTTTTTATCTTTGATCTCTTACAACATAAAGAATCGAACTTTCTATTTCACTTTCTCCATTCTTACACCAATCATCATACAAAAGAAGATAATTGAAGGGTTACCTGACCTGTGACCCGAGCAAAATCACTAACTTATTCAAACACCATGAAACACTCGCAAACGTTTGATCATATTTCTTACTTGAATTACCATAACATACTTTCTTTGATTTCACGCATCTTAACATATACAAGTTTGGGAAAATATTCTTCAAATATCGTGTGTTGCGAAAAATGTAAGAAAAAAAGTATTAATAGATAGATTTTCAATACTAGCGGAAGGCAGTTTGCTCAAACTAGCGCAGCCGGTTCGGGGATAGAGAAAAGGAATCTCACATTTCTCATCTTATGTCTACGAGCAGCGATACATGCATTCTCGAGAGTGAGAACTTCCCCAGGTGGAACACATTTTTTGAAAGATCTCTTAAAGACATCTGAAAGATATCTAAAAAAACATATAGAACGGCCTTTTAGATGCTTTTAAGAAATCTCTTAAACGAAATTTACAATAAGAATTTAAAGTGTAAGATTTAAAAATTGACCAATCATAATTGACTTTTCTTCTGTAATTCGACTGTGATTGGTCAGTTTTTTAAGGCTCAGATCTTAAAGCATCTATTGTATTAGATCGGGAACTTAGACACTTGTTCTGCTTAGATCGGTCCCTTAAAACTATCCGGCAGTATCGATAGTATCGCTGACTGTCCCGCGCGAGAAATCTCTTGACGAGCAGTCATACGAGAGGGGAGCGTAGACGCCGTTAGACAGACGCGCCGTATGACAGCCGTTTAATTTATCGCATTGATTAGAGAGAGAGAGAGGCGTTTGGTTACAGGATGTGGCGGTTATCCGCAGCTTCGAATATCAAGCGAGAGACCGCCAACCGGCGATTCCCGGGCGGCGCGCGGCCGAGTGGCGCGACGGTGGCGCTGCTGTGCACACACGGCGATTCGCCCCGTTTGCGCGTGCCGGTGTTGAATTCTCATCTGTTTTTATAAATATTGTACCTCGCCACGCGTGCCGCGATCGCGTTTCAAACGGTGCCCGTTCACCGGTGGACACCCTCCCGCGCCTCTACGCGGATCGCGCGACGCGTCAAGTCTCATCGGCCACGCCGTCGGAGCGATAAGAGGGTGCACGGGACGAATTTTCCACGAACTTTCCCAACATGCGCGAGTGTTTGAAGTGATAACATGGCGCCGAAACATGACTGGTCATGATGGGGGAATGAGAGGCGTTTGAGGTTAGTACGCTAGATTTTTTTCTCGTCTCGGAAGGTCATCCGTTGAGGAATTCGCTCACGTTATCCTCCACCTCCATGCACGGAATACCTTTTTCCTTACGCTACGTGTGCGACGCCCATCTCTGAATAACATGGCCCTCCTTCTTTCCTTCCTCCCTCCCCGATCGCGAACGCACGCTACCTGTCACGTTTTATAATTAATATGTTTTTGTGATCCGTCCGGCATGCGACACAGTCGTACTACCTTCGCAACAATGTTTTTGCCTCAATGTCGGGCTCCTTTTGCGAGACAAAAATAATATCACGGACTATCCTTGATGGTGGTCCCTTATAATGTATTTTTTTTATCTTACAAGTTCTTTCATCTGCCCCCTTTTTTTCTTACTGTACAGACTTCTTTAAATTATATACAAAGAAGGACGAGATATTGCTTTATCTCTGTTTGATATTTTTGTCGTACATGGTACGTTGATACTCGGGATGTCAACTTGTATTCTGTAAAATTAATGTTTGATTCGCTCCGGTATTTTCCATATGTTGCAAATAACAGGATAATTTTACACGTAATGTAATTTCACATGTAACATCCGACATGTTTCTCACAAAAGTTTCAATATATAATACAGAAATACATCTTTTAATGAAGCCCATGGGGGATACCAACTGTAGAATTTTAAATATAACCAATTTAAAGAGAAAAAGGAACTCCTACAAGTCACATCATAAACTTATATTTTATTCAACATACTTTTGGCCTTACACAAGATTGCCTAAAATTATGCAATGTCACTACATATGTTCATTGTGTAACAAACCAACATATGTTAGATATCTGGAATTATCGGAAGAATATGGAATACAGAGAGCGTCAAAAGTATTGAAACCTATAGTTCCTACAATAAAGAGATAAATAAATATCAAAGATCCTAAGAATGAAATATAACAACAATAACTTATTGGTCCAGTATATATGTACATAAATGCTACAAAATCTTACACGATAACAAACTATTCTAACAGTTTCTTTTTGTCGTCTCATTGATAGCATTTAAAAAATAATATTCCCTCCATTTCTTTCTCTTCTGCAAAAATGTACATGTATACATTTCAATATGAGTGAGTAGTTTGGCCATAGTCTTTGGGCTATGTTGAGGAAAGATCGTCTCCTAGGCATTAAGTATCGACTAGATCGGACAGAGACACTCCGACCATCTTCAAACACATCATCGGCGTTCTGCTTTCCAAAAATATACTCGGAAATGCTCAGACACACGATTCGTGCCGGTTTATAGAATATAGGAAGATCCGTAGATTACACACTCAGTCTAACTAGCGGATAATGCGTACACATCGAGAAATTTAATTCGCTTTAAGTCGCTCTTGACGTTCCTTCACGTCGATGATAGCGAGATTGACACACGACACGTATCCGTGTAACAGAGAAATAGCAGCCTTGGCCAACGCTACGGGAGCACTTAGGTACGCGAGCAACCTGTACAAACCTATACCAGCCACTGAAAATCAAATTATCACTGTGAGTAAGCATGTATTAGCCTAGGGTAGTGCGAGAAACAAAAGAGAACGGGACGTGGTAACTCACAAATGGGTCCCTCGGTGAACTTCAGCAGGTACAGGCAGGCGTAGAAGGCCTCGTTGCCGGCGCACATGAAGAACAACACCGTGCGATTCGTGTAGTACAGTCTCATGATCGGATTTTCAGACATGTCGACGAATTTGTGACTGGTTTTCCCTTGCAAGTGGGTCCTGTTACATTTCGACAAGTTCAACATGTAGTCATGTCATTTCTCTCGGCTTTCCATAGCTTAAGAACCATAGCATCATATCAGAAAAACGTAAACAGTAGGCCTTATCCTTTATCTACAACTTTGCTTTAAGACGTAAGGAATAAGCAAATTGACCAATCACAGTTGTTTGTTAGAAGTTCATTACAAGAATAATCGATCGTGGCTGGTCAATATGCTTACTGCTTACGTCTTAAAGCAAGGTTGTAGACAAGGGCTAAAGCATTAAGAAAATTGACCAATCGTAGTCGATTATTCTCCTCACATTCGAATACGATTGATCAATTTCTTATTCTTCTTACGAATATACTCCCACCGTCCGTTGTAGACGCTACGCTTAAGACAGTACATCACGCGTTGTGATCCTTACGTATGCATGTATATCCAGTGGCAGGCTATGTCGATGGTCATGCTCAGTAAAAACCAGAAGGCGTAGACGGGATAGAACTGGCATAACGTGGCCATGAGGCACATCGTGCTGATCCTATCCGTCAGCTGATCCAAGATCGCGCCGAATTTCGTGCACTGATCATAGTACCTCGCCGCGTGGCCGTCTATCGCGTCCAACAGGGCACTCACCACGTAACACGTCGTGGCGATCACATAATGGGTGGGCATAAAGTAGAAAGAAATCACCGCCAGGATCACTCTGCCGAAACCTGTCGGTGGTAAACATAATACACAAGCGTAATTATCGTCGCGCTTTTATCAGCTGTCGCCACGATTAGTATTATTCAACCGGTGTCGCAAAATACGCAGAATAACGCAGGATTCACTTTCTTGAGAGAGAGAGAGAGAGAGCTCTAAGTACGAAACCGTCGAGTTCCATTATCGGCTGATCACAATGTTACATAAAGCGACAATCACATAGACATTTAATCGATAACAAAAAGCAACCTTAAAAGCGCCGCGCTCGCGTTGTTGACTGACTTCGCGCGACTGAATTTTGCAGAATCGCCCAGCGGAAATAGGAATCCCTCGATCTTTCGATCTTACGCGGTCTTGCCCAGTCAAATCTTGGCGGGCATCAACGTACTCCAGCCGCACTACTACTACTACACGCGAGTGCACATGAATAAACGAACGAATGAAATCTGATTCATCGTAGAATAATCGTGACGGCGCAACAATGTCTCTGCAGGAGACGAAGTGGTGTTACGAGAGAGACCGGCGAGAGTGAGGTATTTACCGATGATATTCGGCACGAACAAGAAAATGTTCTCCCTCTCGGCCATTTTGCCTGCCTCCGGCGGGGAAGTTGCTCACGGGAATTTCTGCCTGCGCGGTGAGATAACACGGGAACAGCGGCAGCGACGGCTTATCTGGACGAAGCGGTCGTGTCAAGGATTATCTCGACGGGATTCGCGTATCGCGAATACTACTGAATCGGCTGAGACGCATACGCGGTGTCACTCCTGTGCCACACACGCTCACGCACTCACTCACGCACGCACGCAGGTCGCCCGTATACGGGTGCAGCAGCGAGACGAGTCGTCAATGAGAGCCGTCGGCATCGAACGGCGTGCACTCGCGCGAGCTCGTCCTCGAGATATATCGACCTTCGCCCACCGCTCGTAATCGAAGCCAGGTCCGTAGCGCTGTTCTCGCTCGGTCCTGGGAATCGTGCGTTCTCTCTTTCTCTTTCTTCCTCTCTTTTTCTCTTTTTCTCCGGTTGATATTCATGTTCGTTCGTTTTAACCGAACTAAATTGCACTTTTTGCCTTTAGAGTGAGATAGGTGTGTAATCTGGCGTTGAAGGCAAAAGGAGCGAAATTTCTGCATTAGTTCAGATAAAACGAACGGAATACCTTCCAACAAGAGGCGACATGGCATGACACAAAGAACGACACAAAGTGGACACAGCTGCAGGGCAGAATCGAACATTTGCGTATCAGTATTATGATCGCTGACGTTATAGTAATTTTTATATAATTTTTATATTTGCAGCATTGAATATGTACTGAAGAATGTCTTCCTCTCTTTGTGGTTAAATATTTATTATCAAGTAAGAGCTTAGTGTGCATACCAGTATTTAATAACAAAATAATTAATAATCTACGGCATTCATGTTTTATCAAATAGCAAGTATTTTTGGGCGACGATAATAAATAAAAATTGTAATTCACGATAAAACTATCTCTCCGTGTTTCCCTTTTAGAAGGCGTCCATACTTCTGCATTTTAATTTTAGTTCATCTTAAGTTCATCTTCAGGTGCTGTATGGACCGTTTCATTGGCTACAATGATCTTGTTTACACCGATTGTTTATATTCAGTAAATTTCATACTTAATATTTTTTTTATTTTATTATTTTGTCGACAGTATACTCTAACTTTCCTTATACCTCACAATATTACATAGCATATTGTACGGAAAATTATTCATTTTTACATACATCAGTAATTTGTCGATAACTTTCATTTCACTTTTCATCAATTTCACAATACTTTCAACAAAATATTTTCATCGGGGATAATCTAACGGAAAGTTCTCATTTAGTACGTGTATCGAATTAGCACAATGCAGTCGAAGATGAGCATAAGCCAGTCTTAAATACAAGACCCGACTATGAATACCGCCCCCTTCCCCCTCTCTCCTCGCATCGGCGGGCGCCCGCTCGAGGGAGGTACGCGCCTGCACGCCAGACGACATTTTCGGAGACCAAGCAGAGAGCGGCTGGTCCGCGCCGTTCCTCTGCGCAAAAGCCGACCGCTTATTGTGTCGCAACGGGAAAGCGTCCGCGTACAGCAGCGTCCGCCACGGCTTCTTCCGGAGCTACTGGGTCCGCGCTCGCGAGCGGATCGTCGCGAGTCTTGGCTCGCGAGTGGCTCGTCGCCGTCGATCGGCTGCCGTCTCGTCGTCGTTCATTCGCCGCTCGCGTCAGTGCGTTGTAACGTACATCATCGTCACCGTGCCAGTGCGATATATCCGAGGCGGAATCGCACATTTTTCGGGAAGCGGGTGGCGGTTCGGACGGTGGTCACCGCGTCGTCGCGCGGCCGTCCAGCTCCTCGCTCTGTTCCCCTCTTTCGCTAGCGAGGCGCGAGTTTTGTCGTCTCATTCGTCGAGGAAGCCACAGTCGCTCCATGAAGAAGGCGACGTTACGCGATCGATAACCCGCCGACGATCTCGGCACGCTCGGACGACAACCAATCGACGAGTATACACACGCGCTCTCGGCAAGTGACTTCAATTCGACTCTTTCGCTCGCTCTCTCTCTCTCTCGTCTCGCGACTTCCTGAGCTTCGCCGCGTGAGTGAGTGTCCCCGCGTCGGAGGTGTGGTGCCGCCTGCGACATTGTGTCGAACGCGCATACGTGTCTACTGGCATCTGCCATGCCGACGGCATCGGCGTGAACCGTCGGACTCGTGTCAGGAATCGCGCGAGGCGCCGGCGGCGACGATGAGCCCGTTCGTCAGCTTCGTCGGCACGCGCGCTCGGAAGAGCAAGTAGGCGACGCGTCCTCCGCGTTGCACGCGGGTGCACGCGAGGGGAGAGGGGGAGTCCACGCGCGAACAACGCGCGCGTGAGGTGTATATGTGGGTTCGGCTGTGCACGAGTAGCAGTGTGTGCGTGATATATCCGCGAGTGGGAGAGAGTTAGGGAGAAAGAAAAAGAGAGATTCCTTCGCGGATGGACTTTTCCTCGTGGGTCCGCGTCATATTCGGCCGAAGGAGGAGGAACGCACGCGTGCGTTCGTTGTCGCGGCTCCTGCGCGGCGGCCATTTTGAATCGACGTGTGCCCAGCGCGGCGGCAGCGGCGATTGTCAACGTAGTCTTCGCGCGCGCCGTGGAACGCCAAAATTGGACGGTTTTTCGTGTCGCGCTGATCGCCGAGGGAAAGGGTGAAAGAGAGAGAGAAGAAGAGACGCCTCGCTTCTTCTTCTGCTGTTTCGTGCGCGATTCCTCCCGCATGGAGGGAAAAAGAAAGAGTGAGTGAAAGAGAGAGACAGAGAGAGAGAGAGAGAGAGAGAAGTGGCTGCCTCCCCGGGGCGTTCGTGTTCTAGCGTGCGCTCACGCACGCGCCCGATCGCGCGCGCACCTAACGCGTCGTACATACGTACATACATACGTCGTGCTCCAGCCATGGTGCCACACAGCCGGGCTTTCTACTTTCAAGAGGGAACGCCGATAGGCGGAACAGTGACACTCTTGGAGCCACTCGCTCCTCCACCGCTTCCAACAGCGCGATTCGATAATCCTCGTCGGCTGATACCGAGGAAATAAGAAAAAAAAAGAAATCCATACTCCAGAGAGAGATAGAGAGTTGCGAGCACACTCGACATTGAACGCGCGAGGAGAGGGAGAGAGAGGAGAGACGCACGTACACACTGTCTGCCCACTCGGTCATACACACACACGGCTGGATCCACCCGCTCTCTCGCAATGCGTCGCTCGTTCGAATTTGACATGTGACCGTTGCGTTTACGTAAGTTGTCTCTTTCTCTCTCGAGTTCCGAACGGACGCGATCGTCGAAGGGACATTCCGCGTCACTCCGAGAATCCTTCTTTCCTTCCTTCGTGACTTCTCGTGCGCGCTGTGCTCTCCGCGAGTGACACACGGACACAACGCCGACGAACGTTGCGTCGTCGCGAACGCGATCGATGACTCCGCGAGAGACAGCTGTGTGCGCGAGTTGACAGCCCGTTCGAGAAGCTAACCTCAAATCTTGGCGAGCGAGCGAGCCCCTGTCGTCGAGGGCCGCGAAGCGTCATCACCGACGAGACGGCGTTGGTCGAGCATCGACCGTGGTCGCCCGTGGCAGCTGGAGGAGTAACGGGAGGATCTCCCGAATTCGCGAGGAACCTCGCGCGAAGTGAGTGAGGCTGACCGTCAACGGTGAACGACCATTTTCGGGGCCATTTCGTCGTTCTCGTCGCGGAGGATCCGCCGTGAGAACCGCGTTGCACCGATACAATCGCGCGCACAGAATCATCATCCCGGACCTTGCGGGTTTTCGCCCGTGCTCTTCTATCGGACCGGCTATTCCCGGATTAGGTGACTCGTCCTTGTCTAGGTTAAGTCAGCTCCTAGCGTCCGCGACTCGCTGCCCCTTTTCTAAAGTTAACACCTGCGCGATCAGCGCTTGACTTTTCCAAATTACTAACGAATTTCGTACACCAGCTCGCAACCGAACCTTCTTCCGGAGCGACAGATCCCAACATCGGTGATTCGCGTATGGTATTCTTTTATTTTTATTTTCTAGGTCAACGCCTAGATATCAGCGCGCACAGACTGCGGCTCTAGCCTGATCTTTCCTAGATTAGCAACTTGAAGGACTTGTCGTCCTTCCCTGGGTTAACCGATTCTAGATTAGCGACCGCTCTTTCCTCTCTCTCTCTCCTGTGATCGATACCTAGATCAACCACCGGCGGCATTGTCCTTTTCTAAGTCACAATCCCACTTGTAACCGAAGAGCGGGAAAAGGAGACAGAATTAAATCGGGATTATACGGACTAGCGCCCCGCCTCGGCATCGGTGCAACCGGTCGACGTCGTCCGTTAACTCGATACATTTGTCATCGAGGCATATCGGTGATGTGAGACGCCGCTCGTCTGTGAGTCGCCAGCGCAGCGTAGCGGGGTCGTCAATGCGGCACGGGTCGCCGACAAATCCGCGAATAGTGCTCTCGGGGCACGGTGGTCCTTGAGGGATCGAGAAAAGAAAGAGAGAGAGAAAGAAAGAACGCGAGAGAGAAAAGGAGAGAGAGAGAGAGAGAGCAAGAGAGATGACGAGGAGGGAGCCATGAGCACGGCGGACACCGCGCTGTCAATTTCAATCAAGATGGCCCCAGGGCCGGAACATCGCCAGGAACCGGTAGCTCCTGACAAAATAGCCGAGAACAATCGTACCGCCGCTGCCGATGTCGTTGTCGACGTGGAGAACAACGTCAGCGTCACCACGACGACCGGCAGCAGCAACAACAATAACAATATCAACAACAACAACGACGCAACCTCTGTCGCCGCTCCTGCCGCCGCCGTCGTTGTCGCGGAACAAAGTTCGAACATCGAGATCGCCCCGGCTAATTCTGCCGCTGGCGCCGATCCGACCAACCAAAGCTCGCCGCCGACAAGCAGCGCCGTTGACAGTAAACAGGTGAGCTGACAATCGCGTGAGTCGGGACGAGTCGTCGAAGTGTGAAGAGAGCCGCGTCGACGAGAGGCGATGATCTTCTGCTTAGATCAAAGTCGCCGCGGATAATTTATGAGACGAGAAAACAGGGTCGTCATACACGTACACGCGCGAACAAATACACACACACATACACACATTGTGCATTGGAAATTATGAAAATTGTGTCGGGACTCTGTGTGAAAAACCGGTATACCGTGAGACACAGTCGCCAAGTTCAGCGCGAATCGCTAGCAAATTAAGCAACGACACGCTGGACGGCGACTCGTTATCTCATTTTAACGGTTCCGCCCATGGGCTTGCTCGTTCGAGTGTAAAAAGTCGTCGAATTTAATCGATATGCGAGTTTTAATTAAACCAGAGTCAGGTGCTTGATTGATTTCGCCCGGCTCCGACGACCGTGTGGAGCCTCTGCGTTATCTTCTTTCTGAAAACGACTCGTCTCTTCGCATCATCGCGTGACGGTACATGTTGATAAATTGTTTATCATTATTATCTTTCTAAGGTGGTTTTTTCGCTCGTATTCTACTTCAGAGAAAGAAATATATACGCACACATATATACGGAGTGTCTTAGGGACAAAAATTTCGTGAGAGCGTAGAAGGGATTGAGGTGAACGAAAAAGTCCTTCACCACTTTGCAAACAACCACGCAAAATTTCGAGTTGTTAATTATTGGAGATGGCCACGCATAGAGGCTTCTTTAATTGGTAACTCAAAAATTTGCAAAATTTTGCAAAAATTTATTATTTGCAAAATAGTAAAGAACTTTCTTACTCAGAATGGCCTAATCGACGTCAGACAGCTGTTGTACCTAACAGACATCAATATACAGAACCTTGAATTTTGAACCTTGAACCTGTCGCCAGACGCAACAGCTGTCATATATTTGTAGATTAGATCATTCTGAACAAAAACCGTTCTTTACCGCTTTGCAAATGTGCTAATTTTTTAGTTATTAATTAAAGAAGCCGATATAAAACCATTTTCAATAAGCAATAACTCGAAATTTTGCATTTGTAAAATAATAGAGAACCTTTTTGAGCCTCAGCTCAATTTAATCCGTTTTACCTACATACGGTCGCTCAGTCAAAACTTCCTGAACACCTTATATATACATATTAATAATACGATATATATAATCCGGTTGATTAGAAAGAACAATGCAGATGTTGATATGCATATGACGCTTATCTTCCTCGTACATCTCAACGTGAGCTGCAATTCGAAATTTTCACGCTTCCCGTCGGCCTCTGAATACGTCGCGGGGCGACTCGGTGATTATTTTTCCTCTAGGAACTCTCACACACACGAGTCTTTCTTACTATTTGAGGACACGCTTCGTTACGCTCCTGAAATGGCCGTGCTGGCCCTCGATAGAGCGAGGACGTGTATCGCACAAACGTTCCCGATACCCCCTTTGGACGTTCGATCGGTTCGTGCGATTTCTTTCGAGCAATTAGGTAACGCGATCGCGAACAAACGCGTGGATCGCGCCGATCGGCGCCAGCCGATCTGCTGCTGCCGCCTTGATTTACAGCTGCCGTTGTTCAATAATAAGAAGAAGAAGGACGAAGAAGGATCGCCGGAGCTTTCGGGCTCTGTTATGCCGAATTTAGAGGAAATCAATAGGACGGTCGAGGCGGTTAAATTAAGGTCGAATTACAATGAGATATTAGAATAGAGGGACACACACAAGCGTGAGACTTTTATTCACACGGTCTCTCTCTCTCTCTCTCTCTCTCGATAAACGCCGCGATCCAGGAGCGCAAGTTTTTGTTCGTGCTTCTTGTGCTTTATTTAGAAAACTAACGACATTCGCAGGAATGCTTCTTCATGCCGCGTCATTCATCCGTTTTACCCTTTAGTCATATCCGTTTCTTCCGATTCGTTGTCCTCTTACGGTTATCTCGTTCTCTCGTTCTCATTATCTCTCTCTCGTAGTCTCTCTCGTTCTTTCGACGTTCTTGTTACATTTCACCTCCGATTCCCCCTACGCGTCTTCGTAGAGTCGCGTTTCTCCGCTGCATTTCCTGCTTTATTATTTCTCTCCGGTGCGAATAACAGTCGGACCACTTCATTATCGGGCAGTATCCACGGTACAAAATCCCGTCACCTGTTCAATCGAAGAGCGAAATAATCGCTCGCTGCTTGATTCCCTTCGGGCGTAGGTTCAAGATAATATTTCTGCGAGCCTATATTATTATTATTATTATCTTTATTATTATTATTACACAACACTCGTTATCACGCGCGATACTCGCGGAGCGTGTTACCTCTCTATTACCTCGCGTCGGAGGAAGGTGAGCGCGAGCGATTCACCGACTTGCATCTCTAGTCTCGGCGTCGTCGCACCGTCGGGGCACCGTCTTTATTAGTAGGAGGGAATCCCAGGGACGTGTTTCGAGAAGAATGCGCGATTGACAGACGTAACTTACGCACGGCCTAATATCGTCGCCGCGATGCGCGTACGATATTACACAGCGCTCGTCGGCGATTTAGCTCGGAACTCCGTATACGGCGCGACCGATCGCTCGCGCGAGCGAGCGACTCGTCCTATTCGCGACGACGAGGCATCTTCCTTCACGATCGAAACCGTTATAATATTTCGACGAGTCCGGATCCTCGACGCCTTACGGTCACGTCCACGGCGAAGGAACGAAAAAAAAAATACATAGTTGTCGCCGCGCGTTTATTTCCGTCGGTGGAAATTAGCGCGAGGGCGTGTTTTTCCCACACGCGGCGCCGAAGATCGAACTTGCGATTGAGAATTACGTCGCGATTTCCCGATTCCCTACTTTCGATTTGAACAACTCGATCCACGTACGACGTACGACTCAACTCGTGCTTCGGTGAATTTTTCTTATTCAAATTATAGCTTTGCAATTTCGGAAGAGATCCGCTTTTTCTCCTCTACTTTTTCCGCGGATTTCTTTGGTTTCTGTCCCGAGAGTAAAAGAAAAATTCACTTGTGTCCAGGTAAAATCTATCGAATTTGCTTTTTTCCATAAAGAAGATGAGAAACCAAAAAAATCTGCGGGAAAAACTGAGTTTTCTCTGAGGTTTTAAAACCAGATAATGACGTGATTCGCGTCATCCAATGGCAGATGTTAAAAAAAAGGATTGTAATGAATAAGCTATACTTTTTCTAGAATCCTGAGAGATTCTTCGTCTAGTAGACAATGATAAATCTAACACTATAACTTGTAATTCAATGTTCGACTTTCTTGACGTCTCCCACTTGCATTCCTAATTTTGACATAAAATGAGAAGAAATGAAATTTCAATCGCTCTAACTGTTTTTATGCTCTGATTGACAAAATCGTATCTCGTTGTGCTTTTCTTAATGTTCTGATATCGACAGTATAGCGAAGTATCGTGAACAGTGTCTTCGGTAAAGCTCTTTTTCAGCATCTTTGATAATTATTTAGAAAAGAACTGTTAGACGTGAAAACTTGATCGAGAAACGAAGGTTTTTTTCTGCAAATCTTAAAAGGTCGATGCTTCTCTTAGAATTTTTTTGCACTTTAGGAAAATTTTGAAGTTTCTAAAAATGAATTTTCGTTTGGAGGATAGATAGAAATGGATAAGAAGAAATTTGTGCTCTCACGTAGCTTTCGTACGGCAGTTTGGACTCCGTGTGTTTTGCCTTAGCTCTTATGTCAATGTGTATTTCCAAAAGTTTCATGTTATGTCAATACGGCAGGTATCTAATACTTATTATGAAATGTTTCACGTTACAGATAGAAAAGGGTTTCTTAGTGTTTCCTGACTTTCAGGGTCCTCTGCTGACTTTCTAATAATAGCTTGCATAAACAGTAAAGTTGAAATGGATACGTAGTTAGCTGGCTATTATGACTGGATGGATGTTAAGAGTAAAAGGAAATAATATCTTTTTCTAAAAGTGCATAACATATGTCTTTGTTTCCAATTTTTTGCGCCTACCGGACAACTTTCTATTTCTTTGTTTTCTTTTTTCTAACATCTCTCTCTTTCTCTCGGCATTCATGCGAAGTATCGTAAAAATGTCAGACGTTCTTTCCTTTAATAAAAAAAGCACGTGAATGGGGCCCAAAACACGAAAGTTCTGTGGAAACATCAACTTGTACCTGTGCATCTACCTATCCTTCAGACAAAAACACATTTTCAGTGTCTTAAAGTACAAAAAAATTTTAAGAAAATGTATCGAGTTTTCGTCTCGAAATAGCAAACTTTACTATCACCTTTGTTATAGCATTTTATGACGACTTTTATGACGTAGAAAATCGTAGGCTTTGAGCTGTGTGTTTCGTACAATATTGGTTTTCCGTCTGCTTAAACCGTAAATGTTTCGAAAGCGAAAATTTATGCCAAAGAAATATGCAAGAAATTCAATCTTACCACACAGAAAAAAATTAGTATCAATTCAAGATTCATATTCTCGTATATATAAACAAGAATATATAATTTTACATGAAAATAAAACTTGCTTTTACATGAAAAAATTCTACATAATTTTTTGTTCAAAAAGTAAAATAAACGATATGAATTATGAGTAGTCTCATAATTTATTTCGTTTATATTACTTTTTTCTAACATAAGGTTAACATATTCGAAACGCGTACGTACGCATCTGTTCCTGCACCTTTGACATTAACTTGAACGACGGATATTTATCAAGTCATCCTATGTATCTGCTCAAGTACATTCGACGTCATTAATACCTTCCAATTTGTATTCCCATTTTGCAATTGCATTTCCGTATCGGGCGCACTCTGTGCTTAGATTTTCGCGCGTCATGACTCAGAGATTGCATTTGACAAGTTGACAGCCGTGAATGTTTCGCGCACGCGTGCAAACGATCCAAACGTAAGATTAAAAGAAATGAGTGGCGTTTTACATACACGATAATAAATTAATCTATATACCGATGTCCAAAAGATAACGAGATTGTGTATATCGGCGAAGAAATTCCCACTTTCGACC